CCCCAGCACTGTGTCCACCCCAGACGAAGAGCCACTCACTCCCTCAGGAGCTGAGGGTCAGGGAGTGTCTTGAAGCCTCAGAGGGCCTTAGGCAACATTCCAATGTATCTGCTAAGCAAACCAAAACACAACTTGTCTTCACTGTCAGAAAGAAAGAGCATTAAAAAATAGTTTTGGAAAAAAAAAGCCTAGCTCACTATCTCTTCAACTCCACAAACACTGGACGTTCAGAGGAGATGAGTTGGAAAAACCCTTGTAAACCTCCAATGGCTAAAGTCAGGTAACAAGACCAGAAAATAACCCATTCCATCCAGTCGACTCCCACCCACAGCGACCCCAGAAGACAGGGCCAACGGTGGCATTTCTCCCTTTCCTGAGGGCACTGGTGGTTCAGGGGCAACATCCTCACTTCCATCGGGGAGACCTGGGTTCGATTCCTGGCCAGTGCAGCACGTGCGCAGACACTCCCCGTCTGTCAGTGAGGCTCAACTCTGATGCTGAACAGTTTCAGTGGAGCTTCCAGACATAGAGGGACCAGGCAAAAAGGCCTGGCCATCGGGGTCTGAAAATCAGCGAATGGAAACCCTTCGGAGCAGAGGTCACTCCCCCGGGCACGCAGTCACCAGGAGGAAGAGGCCTACTTAGCAGCAACCAAGAGCAGCAGCAACCTTCTTCTGACGAGGACAATGACCTGCCCAATTATCTGCAGGGGGGTGAGGACAATGACCTGCCCGATTATCTGCAGGGGGGTGAGGGGCAGGAGAGAAAGCCAGCGAACACGCGTGTGGGGCACCAGAGCCACAGGCAGCAGCCACCCACGGCCACGTTACTGAGGCCGGCTGGGTAACGTCTCCCAGTAAGTTCTGTGGATTGCCCCCCACCCACCCACCAGGCGTGCTGCTGATGCGTGAACCCCAGAACGAGGAGCGGTTGATTTTTCGTTTTTATTCTTATGACGGAAAGTAAATGCACAAGTACAGAGAATGGCCTAAGGAGCTCTATGTGTGTGTCAGCCACTTCAACAATTGTTGAGTTTTTGTGTCACCTGCATGCACACCGTGTCCCCCACATACCCTGGGTTACTTGGTGTCACCTGCACCCAGACCGTGTCCCTGGGCTTGACTTCCTGACCCACCCAGGACTATCTTGGAGCAAGTGCCAGCCATCATATTATTTCACACAGTATCTCAGTATACTTCTCTAAAACATAAAGATTCTTTTAACAAATGCATCAATCCTATGATCACATCTAAAAAAAGATCAGTAATGACTCCTTAATGCCAACTTTGGTGGTTTAAACCCACCAGCCACTCCACTGAGCAATCTACTTCCGTGAAGATTTACAGCCT